AAACAGCAGGTCCCTCCTATTATTCTCTTGAAATGTTTTTATTGCTTCCTTCATAGAATTTCTAAAGACTTTTATCACTTTATTTAATTACTTATTATTTTTTGGTCAGTTTCCCTTACTAGAAAATAAATTGCATGAGGGCATAGATGATAGCTGTATTACTTATCTTTTTTCTTCATCATCTAAATATTAAATTCTAGAAAACAGTAATAAAATAAGGCAAAAGCAGAATTTCCATTTTTTAAGGAAAAATGTCAGTTTAATAAAATTGCAAGTTAATCAGAATGTTGTAGATGCAGTATATCAATTTTTGTTGCACACCTTATATATACATTTTTTAAAAAGCACACCTGTAAATGCATAAACAATGTAATGCCTCTGCATTAGTCTGATTATATGACTGACAACATACATTGGACAAAGTAAACCTATTTTGATTACTTAACTGTATTGATCTCCACCATATATATACTCCCAAAAAATCCTGAGTTAAGGACACAGTGAAGAAACTTCTATTACTGCTGGGTTTAGCTGGTATACAGTGTGAGTAGGATCTATTTTTTCACCATTTGGGACAAACGGAGTGTAGTTCAAAGTATTTGTATGTGTGAGGAAAGAGAGATTACGATATGGTTCCTATGATAGGGAAAGAGGACTGGTAGAGGGAAATACAGAAAAATCTATGATCCCTTTTGTATTTAAGTAGTTTATACTAGCAATGATTAGGGAAGAAATCAAAGGATTTATACTCTAATATTTTTCTTAATATTTAATTTTGTAACATAAAAGTAACACAAATTCCTTACAGAAAAGCTTGAAAATATTCAGTAAAAATATGTAACAATAATTAATTTTGGCTTGTACCATTAGATACATATGACACCCTTTAGGAAAATCCAAATAAAACTGCTTTATTCGTTTTGCTTGGAAGAAGAGAGCCTTTAAGAACACTATAATTTTGTGCAAGAGAGCGTTTTTAGATATGGTCTTATCCGAAACTCAGAATAACACTTAATCAATGCATAATAATGACATTTTATCTCTCTACTTTGAATATTAATCATAATGATTGCACAATGCCTTAATTCAATGTGTAAATGTACAATAAAATTACCCTCTAGGTTGGTTTTATACTTACAGTTTTCATACTTACGGCATGTGATTACAATCTCTTGCACCTTTACAACTTTATAACATTAAAAAAACTCTATAGTTTATCCAGGAAAATGAATTTTAGCTAAGTGAAAGGTCTTTAAGAAACATTGTAAATTATGCAGTTTTCTTTAACAAAATTTTTAATATCTTCAGTAAAGCTCACTCGAATTTTCTAAAAAAATCAATTTATCCCCTTCTATAGATAAATGAACAGTCAGATTTATAGTTTGTGAATAATACTTACAGCAGTCTGACTAATTTTAGGCTATGAATTTTATTAAGCAGATATTTTTCTGCTCAGGTCTGTTCACCTGTATTTACAAAAACAGTGGATTTTGCACTCAATTCATTCAAAATCATAAGTTCACCTTAACTAACAAATCAGACTACTGTTTTACTTGTTTATTTCATTTGTCACTGAATTCCCTAGGGGGAAAAAGACCAATTTATACAATCTTGGTAATAAAATTAACTCACTAGACTCTAATATCCAAACCATATTTCCATTTAATGATTTGAATATTTATTTTCAGAAACATGAGTCACACCCTAAGCAACTCTTTTAGACTATACAGTACTGTTTGCCAAAGCAGAGTAATCTTTGACTAAATGGACCCCTGGTGGCTACTAAACACTGTAATTTATATACATGGAGTTACTTACATATGAGACAAGATTGTGTTTCCTATTTACCTAAGTGCCCAATACAGAAATATGAGTTTTTATATATTAAAAATTACCTAAATTTTTCAATAAAAATTACCAACACCTAATAAATACTATGGCTTTAAATAAAGGGAAAATTGATGGAATAAGAAAAATTTGAATATAAGTCATGTTTTCACTTAATCATATAAAGTAGTCTAGGAAGCAACTCTACTTTTTGATCAATTCAAGGAGGTTTGGGTAATAGGAAGAAAGAGTCAAATTGATTTATTTTGCCTTTATAGTGCAGAGCCTCAAAACAAGTTAAAAGACAAAAGTTGCTTCCTATAGTCAAGTTACTTATAGCACCATATTAAGCAACATGTTAAAAATGAAGTAGTTTACTTGCTGTTATTATTCTTCTCTGCCTAAGTATGGAAAACTAGGAATGGGGAGGAGGGTCAATCCATTCATTTTAACCTTGAAGGATTCCATGTTATTTGGTAAAAATATATAAATAACATTAAAAAATTACTTTGTGAATATCCTTAATCAGGAGGAAAGTTATATAAAAATGTATATATAACAAATTTTAAAAATAAAACATGAGTTCCAGTAGTTTTTAAGATGAAAAATTACTAGGAAAATGAACGCCATCTCTTTAAAATGCTAATTATTGCTGATATTTATTATTATGTGTATAAGAAATCTAGTTTACATTTTTACATTAATCTTTCTATATTGCATACTATAATAATTCTGTAATGCTCAATGTTTTTAATGTTTAAATATTGGTAAGATGTTTTGATTCATTTTCTCTATTTATAAAATAACAAATTAATAAAATATTCCAAAATATTCATAATTTTGAAATTTGATATTTTTATTAACCATTTAGTGTGATGATTTCGGTATTCAAAATTTATCCCAAGGTATTATAAAGCATGATTTCTAATTACTATAAATTTAGGCTGTAAAAGCATTTTATAAGCACTCATTTGTGACTAATGAAAGAACCTGAGCATATTTTCTCTATAGTATTCTCTTGAAAAATACCTTTAAATTTGACCCTTTTTAGCCTTTACGTACTATATTATTCAAGTGTAATTTCATGCATAGCTTGTGTTTTTAGTATAATAATACAAATTCAAATTCAGAGTTTCAGTAAACTACATTTAATGAGCCTATTTAACTTACGGGTAAAATGAACAATACTCATTCACTGATAGGAAGTTAATCTAATTGATAAGAACACACATAATTTACGTATATTTGGTAGTTTAGGTAAAATGTCTTTTAAAAGTATGAGAAAGTCATTCAAATAAAATTTGCTACAAAAAATTGCCAACTCCTCTATGCCCCCAAATAAGAATATCTGAAAGGTCATATTTTAACACCACACATTTTGATAGAATGGCCCTTTAGTCACTTGAAGATCCTGATATATTTTTATGTATGTTAGTGTCCCCAAGGCCTAGGATGGTATTGTTGTATTGTAGGCACTTAATGAAAAAAGAAATGTTGACTTAGGGAAATTATTACATGGAAAATAACTGTTAAATATTTCTACAAACTTGACTGTGAAAGTACACATTTCTCTAGTATCCGTAGGTACTAACATACAGTACATTAAAAATGTCTGACTTTGCAATTATTAAAAATTGGTTTTCTCTCCTGAAATAAAAAAAAGCCAACTAAATAATCACATATGTTTTTAAAATCTCCTGTTTTCAATGAGATAGCTAACTAACTACCGCTTCAACATTTAATGCCAATAGCCTTTAAAAACATGGAAAGGATGTGTGCAAAGGTGTGCACTGCCATGGGAGAGTGGCACCACAGGTGGCACTTATTCTGTGCTACATCTTCAAAGGCATGACTGTTAGAATTTCCAAAATTTATATGTGCATTTGTGATTGCAGTCTGTCAGGTAAAAAAACAGAAATAATTAGGAAAGCATGTCACAAGTACCAGTTGTATAAACAAAAACTGAATATTAATTCTGAATTATATTTATAAATAAAATAAAAAGGTCCTGTGTGTCTATGACTAAAAAAAGGCTGTTGTTTTATCTATCTGCCTTCTCTCTTAATCTTCCCACCCTCACAAAAACTGTGCACACTTTAATGTCACGGGGCCTTCACTTTTATATCTGCAAATTATTTCAAGGCCTTATATGTTATATGAGAACTGTAATTGAAGTTTTATATTTGAAATCTTAGAAAAAAGTGTGGCATAACAGGTCATATATTGGTGGTCATTGCAGCACCAAAAGAGTATCCAGCCAGGTACTTGCTAGAAAACTTTTATGTTTGTTCGCTGCTTAGTCTAAAAGGATTTAGATTATGCAGCCAATGTTTTTTTCATAGATCCTTAAATGTGCATAACAGAAAGACGGTGAGATATGTCTCGTAAAGATTTATGAACAGAAGTAAAGGTTCAAAAATTCTCAGTGCTTTCTATTTGGCAAACCTGACGTTCACTTTTCACACACTATTCAGCTTCATTCTACCACTTTACCTACCGAAATGAAGTCTTCCTCTAAAAAACCTGCCAGTGACTCGACTTTATGAATAGGATATTCACAACTTGGAAATCACACTTAGTGCTTATCTTCCCCACCTGCTTTCCAGTGTCTCTAAGAAAGAGAAACCACAAAAGATCTGTGGACATCTGGTCCAGGAATAATTTCGAAAGAGTCCATATTTTGTCTGAATGGGGTAAGGGGGCCGCGGATCAGCAAGGGCGACGCAGCTACGAGGCAAAAGGCATTTGGCCACAGGGTCGAGTAGAAGCGATCTGCTTTCATGAAGGCCTGTGGGAGAACCTACAAGGTACCGTACTGTGAGCCACCGCCAAAAGCCAGGGTCTCCATTAAGCCTTCGCCGTGGAGCCTGACCTCCTGCGGAGACAGCGCGACGGGGAGCGGCTCCGCGGCCGGCTGTGGGACCCAACTGCGCCTGATGCTCACGCATCCGCTTAAAAGCATTTGGAAGCAGAAGGGACCGCAACTCGCGATGCCGCCAGTCCCGGACGAAGTGGACAGGGCACCCTGATGAGGGGACATCCTCGACCCTCCCGTGTGGAGAGCCCAGAGAAGCCTACGGCAGGACAAAGTTACCTGCAGGAGGCGACCAGGCTCTGGTCCTCGGGGCACCCGCCTTCTCCCGCCCCTCCCGCTTCTCCGCCCCGTCCCTTACCTTGGTTGTTGGAGACGTGACTGCAGTCGCCCGGCCAAGCTGTTAGCAGAGGCAAAAAGAAACCTAATTGCAAAAAAAATTCCCGGACTTCGCAGCCCCTCATGGCTCTCCGCGTCTCTCTCCGCCTCCCCCTCAAAGAGAAGAGGCAGCAGCGCAGCCAGGTGTTCTGCGTAGAGTAGGGGTTCGGATCCACGTCTTCTTCCTCCTCCTCTTCCTCCTCCACCCGACCCGCAGGGGTTGTCCCGGGGCGCCCCCCGCGCGAGGCCCCAGGGGCAGGGTACGAAGGTCCAGGCTGCCCAGGTGCCGGCGCAGCTGCTTCGGAGGAGGACGCTGCCTGCGGCGCCAGGGAGCTCCTAGCGGCTGAAGGCGAGCGGAATTGCATCCACCACCGTGTCCCGCTCGCGCAAGGACTATTCACTTGGGCCCGGGAGAGCGCGCGCGCAGGAGCGAGCTCGGGCTGTGCTTGGGGGAGGGGAGCACGGGGCGGGGGCGGGCGCCTCCCGGCGGGGGCTGGGGGAGGGACGACCAGGTGCGGCGGGCGGCTCCTGCGGCCCGAGCGCCTCTCCGGACCCAAGTGGGCACTTGCAGAGCCCAAGCAGCGGAGGCGCAGCAGCTGTGAAACGGCTCGGATGCCGCGGGAACTTTCCTCGGGCCAGTGCGGCGAGAGCCAAGCGAATGAGACGGCTCGGCAGGGCTGCAAGTGGTCCGAGCCAGCTACCGAGCTGCGCCCCGGCCCCTCGCCTAGGTGTCGACGGCAACGGCGGACACCGCTAACTCGGCCGCGTCTGCGCTACACCTCGGCCTTGGCAGCCGCTTTTCCGGGCATCGGTAAGGCCACACTTAGTTCCCCAAGCACTTTGCTCCCCATTCCCGGCAGCAGCGCCGAGCGTCTCTGGGCTAGTCACCTCCTGACAACCGCTTTCCCGACTTCACATTTCCGCCGCTCGAATGGGTGAGTTCTGCGGGCGGCGCCTGAAGGCGGTCCGGGCGCGAGCTGGAAGGCGGAGGGCCAGTGTGACCCTCAGCGCAGGTCCCCCAAACTTGCCCACCAGGGCGAGCGTTTCAGCTTTGCGGCCGCCGCCTCCGCTGCTTGGAGTCCTAATAAAGCTGAGAGGGAGCGAGCGTCTGAGGAGTGTCACATCACGCTGGAGACCGGCGGGGCCCTGACGCCGGGGTTCACTGAGGGCTTCGGGTCGGAGGTCACGAGCACTGTCGCAGTCTTGGGCGCTGGGATTCCTGGAGCCCAGAGCACCCGCGGCATGGCGGCGTCGGACCGCGAGCTCAGAGAGCCCAGGGGCTGAGCCGCGCGGACCACCTCAGCCACAGCGCCGGGGGCGCGGCGAGCGAACCGCTCTCCCGGCTCAAGTGCCCCTCGCGGTGTCCACTCTCTCCCAGCGCTCGGGTGGGTCAGAAGCAGCCTTCCTGGCTACTCGGTAGGACCAAGAGCCCTCGCCCCACGGCCCGGGCACCGCGCGGTGCTGGCAGGGAGGCGGGGCTCGGCGCCGCAGCCCCCACGCTCTCGCCCCGCGGCTGGCGCGGGCGCGGAAGGCAGACCGGGCGCGCCAGTGCCGCTGAGCTCCGCGGGGCCCGGCGCTCGGCCGGCCGGCAGCCGCCGCTCGGCTGCTGCCATTTGGGCACTAGAGGGGGTTAGTCGACAACAAAATGTCTCCTCTGCTCGTCGGTGGAAGCGGCTCCTCAAGCAGGAGCCAAAGGAAGGAGGAATGTGCTCAGGCTAAAAGCATGGTGGGTTTGTTAAGGGAGCGCCGAACACTAGTACATCGCTCTCGTGGGGGTTCTGCAATCCTTTATTCGCTTTATTATCCTCGTCGTTTTCTTCTTGAAGGAACTTGGGCTATCGCAATCAAGTGAAGTTCAGAGTACCTCAAAACTCAGTGTTCTGAGGTAATATTTATGGCAATGGAGAAAAGTGAACCTAGAAGAGAAGACAGCGGTCTATAAAGGCTTTAGGACATTTTCTAAGTGGGCAGAGGGCACGGGAGGGAAATGGCACAGTGGCAGGAGTTGGGGGAGTAGTAAATGAAGGAGCAAAGTGTCAGCGTTGAACGCTTTTGCAGAATTCTGGAAGAGAGAGGACCCTGCCATTCGATGCGTTTCGGCGCTGCATGTTTGTCATACACGATAGTTAAGGGGTTTCAATTATTGCCTTATTATATAGACACTTGGAGACAGAAGAGGAGAGCCAAGGATGCCCACGTCCAATTCGGCTGCGTGGAGACAAATGCTAAAGTCAAGTGATTTTGAGAATGTAAGAAAGGTTTCTGATTGGTGACTGTACTTCGCTCTTATTACTCAAACACTGCATCTCTTTAAAGATGCCCACGCCAACTTAAATGTATGCAAATCACTTCAGAAAAAAATAACCAAGTATTGGAGTTATATATTGGTACTCAAAGGAGTAAAATCTGACTTTGCTACTGATTTTAACACTTTACTGGTATTGACTGGCTGCATGGGCATTTGCAAACTCAGTTTACAATTTACAAACTGTAAAAGCCTACATTTTGAAATATAAATAGCTATGTCTAAATGTTCTTCAAATATTCATTATACTGATGTTTTGATTCTAAATAATCTTTATTTGCTGTCAAAGAATATATTCCCATGATCGTTTTGTAATTAAATTTGTATGTTTAAATATTTACTTACAGTGAATAATTTTATAGACTTCGTTAAAAACACACCAGAAGATTTTCCAAAGACGACACTCCTTATAAATGTCTAGGATGTACTATTTTATTCTGATAAACTGAAGAAATGTATAATACTATTAGAAATATAAACCAAGTTAATCCATTTCCAAACTTCTAGTTTATAAAATAACTAGACTTTCAAGGAGATGTTTTAAGTGGAACACCACTATAAAGTAATTCCAAAAAAATCCCTAGAGTAAAAATACTTTAATATTAAAGTTTTAACTTAATTTTTTTTTTTTTACTATTTTGCTTGAGTATTACATTTTTAGAAAGTACATTAAAAATAGAACACCAAGAACATCCTATTATAATAGACTGGAAGAGAACAGTTTTAATAGATGGAAGGAAGGAAGGAAAATAGGAAGGAAGATTGGAGAAGGAAAGGAATAAAGGGAATGAAAAAAATGAAAAGCTAAGGTTCTTTTCTAGGGCTAACAGTTATGAATAGTGGTTCAATAACCAAAACATAACTGTTACTTCACAGTAGCAATATCAGCTTAATTAAACTGGATTTCTATCTCTGCCCTTACCTACAATTCACAATTTTTGTCTGTTTAAGTAATTAATATCACTTATCTGGTAAGATAATAGTCATCTGGATTTAGTTTTTAAGAAAAAAATTACAAAATTTTCCTCTTAAAATGAAACATTTCATGTTTAGTACTGTCTGTTGAATGTCTAGAAGATACCTCTTAAGTAAAAACTCAACTAGAAGAAAATGAATTGAAATGCAATTATCATGATCTTTGACTATAGTGAGATTCCGTGGGTGTGACATGCTTATCAATTTGAAAACATGATTGTAAAAAGAGTTATCATAACCATTTAACCATTTGTGTTATATACATATATGTAAATATATGTATATTTACATACACAGAGATATACATCCACAGTGTGTATATGCATATTCATTCTAAAATATCTGTTGAGCTCTTTTTATGTGCTTAGTTGTCTTCACTAAGAGAGGAGATGATGGTAATATGACTAAAAATAATTTGTTTTTAAAAGCTAAACTTTTTAAAAAATATATAGTTGTGGTTATCTTACGTGAGCTAGGAGCAATTGCACTTCACAGAAATGTACTTCCTTTTTTATTTTCTAGCAGTGTAGATATGTGATAGTTTCAAAATTATAAGCCACTCAATGAACCAGATGCAATATTCATGTAGATTTATCTGTACTTGTCTGTTTGAATCATACCCTTATTCAAAAAAAATTCATGTCTCATTTTTCAGTATAGTTCAGAATTCTTTTCTAAACTCTCAGACCATTGTTCTTCATGATATATGCGATCTGAATTCAGGTAAGAATGATTAATTTTTTATTAAAATTAAGAGTATAAAACCCTAAAAATTAGTCTAAGATTTAATTTGTAGTAGAAACATTAGTATTCACAAATACTATTTGCCTTTTAAAATGATTAGAAAAGGAAAGACTTAACCTGCAAATAATTCCTTTCTGGGAAAAAAAAGGCTTTAAATGTTTAATACTCAGCATGTTTGAAGGTTTGAGAAAGTCTTAAGTATTTTGTTCTGGTGGAAGAGTAAATTAATCCATTTATATCTGTAATTTGCTTTCTCTAAAGTCAAGGTAGAAGCAACATAAATAAAAAGTGTTGATCCTCAAGCATGTCAAAACATCAGAGCTTAAAATATTAGTTTATTATTTTGAATAGATACAATTATCCAAGGATTTTGTTAATATGAAATTTAGAGACATGCTGCAAAGAGTATTATCATGTTATCAACTTTAAAATATAAATTAATTAAAAGATTGAGTTGTATGTTTTAACATACAGACAGCAGAAGTAAAAAAATACACAAAGGCAAATATAGTTATTTTAAGGTTCTTTCTTATAAGAAAATATGTAATCAGTAGAAAAGCACAAACCTTATTTATTTCAGAAATTTTTTTTTTGTTAGCAGATAATATTTTTCTGGAAGAAGACATTCAAAACACTGCTGGGTATTTTAGTTTATTGTTAGCACAGCAAATCTTAACCTCACAGAAAAAAATGCTACACAAAACATACTATATAGTTTATTCTACTGTGATATTGCATTTTCTTGTATGACATTTTATAGTAAAAGAAAATATATAAATATGTCATATATATATAATATATATGTGTATTTATACTTCAATGAAAAAATTCTCTCTAGTAGTTTTCTATTCAGTACCACTTACCAAGCAAGATTTTCATATTCATTTGTGCTGAGCATTATAGGGAAGCTACAAAGATTATTTGAATTTAGTTCCTAACCATCAGATGTTTATATTATATTGAAGGCACAGAGATAGGAACTATTCCAATATAAATCAATCTATGTTACCTCATAATGGAGTTCCAAATTATAGTTACATAAGAGGAAAGGAGTCATACACTCACCCTGTAAGGCATGGATCTCTGCAGTTACTACTTTTGCTTGAGTTAAACTTACTCTTGGTATGGATTGATTCAGCCTTTGAAAGCTCGTTCATGAAATTTTATTGACATTTAATACAAATAACGTTATGTACAATGACCAAATAATTCAACTGTATTCAACTAACTTGGATTATTTTAATGAAATGTATTTCATTATCTGGTATCAAGTACCCACAAAAAGTAATTTTAACAAAGTCATGTAACTAATTTTTTACATATATATAAATATATGATATATATAAATATATAAATAATGATATATTTAAATTTATTTCAATTTTGCAAGTAACTTAGTATTCAGTTTATC